GCATGCTGCCCAGGGGGATTCTGGGAATTGAAGTCCAGAAGTCTTAAAAAGTTGGCAAGAACTGGACAGCCCTGGTCTAAAGCTACAAAACCTGGCTGGGGAAATTCTGGGAGTTTGAGGTCCCCAAATGTAAAAGGTGCCAAAGTCGGACATGCCTGATTTAAAGTTAATGCATTTTAATGAGTAAGGGGCGGGGTTACATGCTGCCCAGGGGATTCTGGGAATTGAAGTCCAGAAGTCTTAAAAAGTTGGCAAGAACTGGACAGCCCTGGTCTAAAGCTACAAAACCTGGCTGGGGAAATTCTGGGAGTTTGAGGTCCCCAAATGTAAAAGGTGCCAAAGTTGGACATGCCTGATTTAAAGTGATTGCATTTTAATGAGTAAGGGGGCGGGGTTACATGCTGCCCAGGGGATTCTGGGAATTGAAGTCCAGAAGTCTTAAAAAGTTGGCAAGAACTGGACAGCCCTGGTCTAAAGCTACAAAACCTGGCTGGGGAAATTCTGGGAGTTTGAGGTCCCCAAATGTAAAAGGTGCCAAAGTTGGACACCCCTGATTTAAGGTTATTGCATTTAAATGGTTTTTTTTTGGGGGGGGGTGTCCATGGTGCCCAGGGGATTCTGGGAATTGAAGTCCAGAAGTCTTAAAAGTTGCCAAGAATTGGACACATATATGCCCTACAGCTCGGTCCAAACGGGGGTCCGCCTCTCTTGCAACTCCTCCACCTGACCGAAAACTCGACGCTACCTGAGGCCCCTTACCTGGCCAGCTGCCTCGTCGCCATGGCAACCGCCTCCCCCCGCGCGCCAAGCCTTGGCTCGGCGGCCGCCGTTTCAAACAGCCCGCCGCCCAACAGGCCCCGCCTCCTCCTCCTCCTCCCCTCGATGCTTTCGGCCGATCGACTAAGCGGGCCTGCCGCCGTTGGTATCCGCATTCTCGCTCGAGGCGCTTCCTCCTCTAAGGCTGGGCTGCGATGCGAGAGTGGGGAGGGGCGGGGTGGGGTGGGGGGGAAATGTCTCAGGCCCGGCCAGACGATTGCCGAGCAAGGATTCTCCTCGATTGCGGAAGGGCTTTACCCGGGAGTAATGTGCCAGGAATACAGGTCAGGCTTCTCACTGATTTTCAATTTTTTTCCCTCCCTTTTGCTCTCTTTTTTCAAAAATCGGAAGCGGGTGTTTGCAAGGAAAGGCGTTCCCGGGTTAATTGCTGGGAAGGCCGTTGCTTGCAAGGGAGAGAAGGAAGATTGCAACTCTTCCGTACACGTGTTTGCAGGATCGCACGTGGTTGCAAAATGTAAACCCCTGTAGAGTGGAGGGGATGGAAACCAAAGGACTGGTCCACGCGGGGGTGCAGAGTGGCTTGCTTCCAACTTTAAACCTGTTGCTTTTACCCTGCTGGATCCCTATCTCCATAAACCCATCCCAGCCAGACTTAAAATCAAGGGGCATTTGCTGATCTCCCCTCTGGTTGGGGATGATGGGGGCTGTTGTTGCCCCGCAGACGAGGCTGGGTGCAAAAGAGGGTGCTGAGAGCTGCTCTTTCTTTTTCATTCTGAAGATGGGCTTCATGGCATCCTGCGATGTAATGTTGCTCCAGTCCGTTGTTTCCCGAATTTAGCCACTTGAAAGGGTTGTGTGGACTTCAAGCCCCAGAATTCCCTGCGAGCATGGGGGGGGGGGCAGGGGGATCCTGGGAGTTGGAGTCCACCCACTTTAAAGTGTCCAAGTTTGGAAAACAGCTTTAAGTCCATGTTTGTAGAACACAATGGAGCGCCTGCTGCTACTACTCTTCTCATTACTGTTCTCATTAAATTGGATTAGAATAAATTAAGGTAGAATACATAATACCACAAGGGCTTGCTATTAATATTATATGAAATGCAGATTCAATTAGAACTCATTTTATGAAGGAGACTTGATGTTCTATTAGAATGAATGCTAAACATGTTGCAGAGCTATTGATTTATATTATATTATTCATTCTAAAGTTAAGTTATTCTTCTGATTTGATGAAGAAAGTCATAAGAATGGAGGGGGGGAAATCTTATTTGCTTCTCTAATGAGATGGGCGGCAATAAAATTAGATTGGATTAGACTAGGCTAGATATCGATGGATGATATATAGATATGGATGGATGGATGGAGAGCAATAGATATAAATAGATGGTAGATAGATAAATTATCATCATCATTTAACAACCCCATAATCCTTTGCGGGATGGAGTCTTGGGCAACTGAATGGAGTGTTTACTGGCCAGATGCCCTTCCTGTCGCCAATGAGGAGTTTTGTTCAGCAGATATATTCTCATTGTGCCCAGAGAGAGAAATATCTGCCTCTGCCCGGGATTGAACTCCCAGCCACCTGATTGTGAAGCTACCACACCATTCTATGGTAGATAGATAAATAATTCTCCTTAATTCAAACCCTAAACAAAATTAAGTAGAATTTCAACTTATTATTTCAACTTATTGCTCCAATTGTAAGGGTTAACAACGTTGCTGGTTGCTTTGCTCCACAGATGTTTTTCCATTAATTTATCATTTTTTAAAAAAATTCTTTTCTGTGATGCTCTTTTTGTTTAGCAGATAAATTCCTCCCGAAGAGGGATTTATAAATAAAATGGTTGCACAAACTGATGGAGTTGCAAAGAAAAGGGATTATGAAGATGAGGAAACTGGAGGAGAGAAACGGAAGGCTAAAAGAAAGAGGAAGAATGAGAAAAATGACATTCACTCAAATGATCAGAAAATGAAACTTCCCAGTGAAGTAAGATTTGTTTATGGATATACTATTCCAGAAGATTTGCCATTATGGCATGTTTTGGTTTCATCATTCCCCATAATAATAATTAAAAAAAAAAACAATTTAAGTTTTGGGTGGAGTTTTCCAAATGTTTTTCTGACTCTGCTTTTAGTTTATGTCTTTTCAAAACATGTTTTGAATTGTTTTTCCTTCCAAAGGTTTGCTGTAGGTTTTTTTTTAGTCTGTGTTATATTTTTAATGCTGTACTTCATTGTTCATATCCATGAATCATTAAGTTATAATTAGAACAATGTGCTATTCCAGTTGACTGTTTTTTGCATCTTTCTCAGCTTAAAATTATTTCCCAAGTTTAATATCAAGAATTAGACAGAAGTTTAATCATTTGCAACCAAGACACTGAGATTCTTGATCTCAGGGTGGGAAACATTAATACTTACAAAGCTGCAGAAACTTTTAGAAGCTGCTTGTATTTTTCTCCATTGCTGAATTTGTCAATGTGGGAGGACAGTTTATATAAAATCGCTGCTGGGACTAAAATTATTTGGCATTTATCATGTTTGTGTAAATAATGTCCAAGTTTTGTGAAGTTCATGCATATCTTGCAGTCGGCTCTATTAACTGTGTTTCTCCTTTTGCGTGTTTGATGTGTTTTTTTTAAGTGGCATCCTCTTCCCAGAAACGAACTCTCCGTTCTTGGATGTTGTTTGTGGGAACGGTGCCTTAAATCCTGACATTTTCATTGGGAATGTAAACACTCCAGAGTCAATTGTCTTGGTTTCCAAGGTGAAGACTCCCTGTTTGTCTGCTTGGAGGTTTGGAGAAGGCCAAATCACTCATGAGCAACTGCGCGAATTCCTCAAGTATGCCACGCAGGGAAAACAGCACAATGTCACTCCGCCCAGGTAAATGTGCTCTTAATCCTTATGGAAGGTAACGTATTTTTCGGACTATAAGACGCACCGGTGTATAAGATGCACCACGATTTCGAAGAGGTAACCCTAGCCCCCAGGAGCACTCCGCAGGCTTCAGCAGGGCTGAGGGAAGGCAAAATTGCCCTCTTTTTTTTTTTTGGCCTGTTTTCCAAACTTTTTCTGTAAAAACCAGGGCATTTTTTGCCTTCCCCCAGCCCTGCTGAAGCCTTCAGAATGCTTCAGGGGGCTGGGAGAAGGCAAAAACGCCTCAGTTTTTGCAAAAAAAATGGAATGAGGGCTTATTTGGTGTATAAGACGCACCAACAGTTCCACATTGTTTTGGGGAGGGAGGTGCATCTTATACTCCGAAAAATATGGTATCTATCCACCTTAAATGTTCAACAGTACAGCTAGTCCTTGATTTACAACCTTTTGGTTGTCCGTTTGAAGTCAAACGGGGCTGGGAAAAAGTGTCTTGTGATCATTTTTCACACTTAACAACCATGGCAGCATTCCCATGGTCGCATGATCAAAACTCATCCGCTTAGCAACTGACTCATGTTTATGACAGTTAACAGTGTTCCCAAGGTCACAAGATCCCTTTTGGGGAACTTCTGGAGAGGCGGAATCAATGGGGAAGCAAGATTCACTTAACATTGCATTGGCATCCTTCCGTCTCATAAGACTTTGGAATCGTGCTCTGGAAAGAGGTTAAAGCTGGAGTGTCCTCTCCGGAGCACAAGGCCTGGGTAGATTAATAGCAATAGCAATAGCAGTTAGACTTATATACCGCTTCACAATCCTTTACAGCCCTCTCTAAGCGGTTTACAGAGTCAGCCTCTTGCCCCCAACAATCTGGCTCCTCATTTGACCCACCTCGTAAGGACGGAAGGCTGAGTCAACCTGGAGCCTGGTGGGATTCGAACTGCCAAATTGTAGGCAGCCGGCAGTCAGCAGAAAGTAGCCTGCAGTACTGCACTCTAACCGCCCTGCGCCACCACGGCTCTAAATGTTGAGAAACCAGTCTAACAACCGAGAAACAGCTTTGCCCGGGCGTGGCTGATGAAAGGAATGTAAGAGATAACCGTGGTCCCTTGTGGTACAGTTGGTGTCGCATCCACCACCAAAGGCACGTGGCTGGTGTAATGGTGGTCATTTTACATCACGTGGATCAGCTCCATTTCTACCGGTACTACCTGCAGTTCAAACATCTCCGAAGGACCTTCAAACACGTAAGTCACGGATGTTTATCCATCAGGTGGGATGGCTAGTCTGGGAAATTTGTGTACGATATGGCAGTCCTCGCAGAACAAGGAGCCCGGCGTGGAGGGTAATTAACTCACCGTAAAACCACGCGGGAGCATAACAAGGAAGAAGTCCAATTCTGTTTCTATTTTTTAAAACCCCAACTGTGTTTATAAGTAACTCAAGGCAGCAGGCATGCGTACAACTCCTTCCTCTTCCTATTTTTCCCCCTAACAACAACCCTGTGAGGTGGGCTGGGCTGAGAGAAAGCGCCTGGCCCAAAGTCCCCCAGCCGGCTTTCATACCTAAGGTGGGACTAGAACTCACTGTCTCCTGGCGATGGTCTCAAAGTCACTCAGCTTTCTGTCATGCCTAAGGCGGGACTAGAACTCCCTGTCGCCCAGTGATTGGCCCAAAGTCACCCAGCCGACTTTCATACTTAAGGTGGGACTAGAACTCACTGTCACCCAGTAATTGGCCCAAAGTCACCCAGCCAACTTTCCTGCCTAAGGCAAGACTAGAACTCACCATCTTCTGGTGATGGGCTCAAAGTCACTCAGCTGCCTTTCATGCCTAAGGCGGGACTAGAACTCCCTGTCGCCCAGTGATTGGCCCAAAGTCACTCAGCTGGCTTTCACACACCTAAGGTGGGACTAGAACTCCCCATCTCCTAGCCCGACGCCTGAATTAAAATTAAACTCTTAATGGTTCATTTACCGGCGTGGCCTGCTTTATCAAGGCAAGCAAAGAATTCTCCTGAAATCAATGCGTCTTTCAGCCGGAGGAAATGCCACTTTTCCCAACGTCATTCCTGATTTCCCCCCCCCCCCTCCTGGCCTGCCTTTGCAGTTCTCTGCTTAACAGGCTACCTTGACCCAGCGAGGCTGGCCGAGCGATTGGGGGGGGGGGTTGAGGGGGGGGAAGCAGCTTTGCAGCCACAAGGAAACACATGGCTCTAATTTAAAGGCTATTCGAGACTTTCCAGGAAGAAGTCTGCCTCCAATTCTCCTCAAGAATGAGCTCTCTTTCTTTCTTTCTTTTGCTTCTCTTCCTTTTTCCTCTGGCTGCCGCCTGGAAAGCCAAGGTCATTAAAACAACGCTGGGTTGGCACAAAGGGGAGTTGTTTTTCTTGGGAATTTCCCCAAGAAAGGCTGATCTGTTATCTCCCTCACCTTTCCCCCCTTTTAAAAAAAAGATTGGGGGGGGGGGAAATCAAGGCCAATTGTTTTGACCACTGGCTGAAGCTTTTGCAAATGAATGTTTGGTGCTTATTGTGTGATTTAAAAGTCTGTCTCTCTCTCCCTCCCTCCCTCCTTCCCTCCTCTTCTCTCTCTCTTCCTCCCTCCCCCTTCTTCTCTCTTTCTCTCTCTCTTTCTCTCCCTCCCGCCCCCCTCTTCTCTCTCTCTCCCTCCCCACTTCTCTCTCTCTTTCTCTCTCTCTCTTTCTCTCCCTCCCTCCCCCTCTTCTCCCTCCCTCTCTTTCTCTCTCTCTCACTCCCTCCCACCCCTCTCTTCTCCCTCTCTCTCNCATTCAGTTGCCCAGACTCCACCCCACAAGGGATTATGGGGTCATTAAAAGAAGAAGAAGATAATGATCAAATAGATAGATCCCACTATGTCTTTTACCTGAAGGATAGCTGGTTGTCAATTAAAAATCCTGGCTTCATGTTTTTTTCAAAATGGTGATGGGTTGGAGCTCACCATTAGAATTTGTTGGTATATCGGGGATATGCAAATGTAGGAAGTGTTTTGTTTTTTTTTTGCTGGCCACTGTAAGGACTATTCTCCGTAATTCTTGGATAAAGTCACTCAACTTTAGAGCCCTGCCTGAAGTGGATTATTTAAATCCTTTTCTGTCAGGGTTCAGGAAGTACTGAGACTGTATTAGTTGTTCTTGTGCATAATTTTCAGCCTGGGATGGAGGGTGGGATGCACTTATCCTGGCTCTCTTTGATCTCTTGGAAGCATTTAATGCCATCAGTTATGGTGTATTTTTGAGATCAGATCCAAGGATTGGATGTGAATAGTACAAGGTTGTACTAGTTCTCTTCCTTTTTATCTGTAGCAGGTTCCACCAGCTGTTGGTTGGGAACAAAAAGTCATGTCGTAGGCCCTTGCAATGTGAAATGCATCAGGGCTCAAATCTTTCCTGTCTTCTCTTAACATTTACCTGAGACTGCTAGAGTTTTTTCTGCTGTTGGAAAATCTGCTACAGATTTTCCAACCGTATGGAAAATGTGCTGTACATATCCACTTTTGGTTGACCAAGTGACACAGCTCCAGTGTCTGGAGACTGGGGTTATTTGGATGGAGAAGAATTGGGTTCAACTCAACCATAGCAAGCAGAATGGTTGTGTGTTTTTTGTCTCCTTGGTTGTGGTGAGGTATCACTTTTAACATTTGCTGATGTTGCACTTCCCCAGAGAGACCTTGTGAATTTGGGACTCCTCTTGAACTCATGGCTCCTGCTGAAGTGGCAGCTGTGGCTAGGTTAGCCTTTGCATAGACATGTCTTACATGCCAATCACATCCATTCATGGAAGGGGATGCCCTGCTCATGGTCACTTATGCCTTAGTCACATCTCAGTTGGACTATGCTGTGCACCCTACATAAACACACTCTACATTAGAAAATCATCTGGAAATTAATATTGGTCCTAGTACAATACAGCATATTGCACAGTCCACCCACATCACACAATTGCCTCATGAGTTGCTCTCGCTTGCAGTATTTTCCCCGGTGCAATTCAAGGTGTTGGTTATCATTGTTAAAGTTCTGAATGGCATAGAGTCAAGTTATTTATAGGACTGCCTGTCACTGAGGGTATCTGCTAGTTCTACTAAGTCAGATAGGGTGGATGGGCTCTGTATCTTTTCTGTTAAACATTGAACTAGTGAGATCAAGGCAACACAATTCTCAGTGGTTGAGAACACCCTGCCACTAGGATTCAGCACTCCCATAGCTTCTGAGATTTCCAAAAAGACTTGAAGACCTGGCTTTTCCCACAAGCTTTGCAGTACGGGGTAATATAAGATAGAGTACAGAAAGTTGTTGCAGCTGTAGGGATATGTTGTGGATAGGAGCTCCAGGAGTTTCTGTGTGGGTGTTTTCTGTTTTACTTTTCAATTGCCACTTGTGGGCTGGGCAGGGTAATGTTGTATAAGGTGGGAAGAAATATTTTAAATTAGGAAAGAAAAATGAACAATTTAGCCTAAATCTACATCTAAAGGTTATACTTGCACAATCTCGTATTGGTGTCCATATGTGGAGATGAAGGGCAGGATAAAGGAGCAAATGCCATTTTATATATATATATATAAAACATTATTTTTTCTTTCCATTTCCTTAAATATTATACTCTAAGGAGTATAATATTTAAGGAAATATTTGCTCTTTGTAGAATGCTATGGAGGTCATTCTGACCCCATGACCCTGTGTATAACATTGTACCATAATTTATCATAATGTTGATCCATTGAAGAAAGCTCTATGCTCACTCTCTGCCCTGAACCTGAGAGAACTTTGGAAGCCAATATTTCTATTTTTGCCAAGTCAGTCCCCCCCCCCCCTATTTCATAAATCATGGTCTGACTTCTGGTAAGTTTCAAAATAAGTCCAATTCGGAACATAGTTACACAGCTGCTTATTTTAAGTTTTGCTGTGGCAACTTCTTTCCCATTTTAGTAAAGTTCTAGGTTGCATAAACAGAGGGATAGAATCAAGATGACGTGAGGTGTTAATACCACTTGGTAAGGCATTATGCACTTGGAATACTGCATTCAGTTTTGGTTGCCACAATGTAAAAAAGATATGCAGACTCTAGAAGGAGTGCAGAGAAGAGCAACAAAGATGATTAGGGGATTGGAGGCTAAAATATATGAAGAATGGTTGCAAGAACTGGGTATATGTGAAGTTTAATGAAAAGAAGGACTAGGGGAGACATGATATCAGTCTTCCAATATCTCAGGGGTTGCCACAGAGAAGAGGGAGTCAAGCTATTCTCCAAAGCACCTGAGGGTAGAACAAGAAGCAATGGGTGGAAACTAATCAAGGAGAGAAGCAACTTAGAACTGGGGAGAAATTTCCTGACAGTTAGAACAATTAATCAATGGAACAACTTGCCTCCAGGAATTGTGAATGATCCAACACTGGAAGTTTTTAAGAAGATGTTGGATAACCATTTGTCTGAAGTG